GCAGAGAGGCGCGCCGTTTTAGCTCAGTTCCCGACCCGCTGCTCTGACCTTTAACTCCTCCCCCGGCTCTCCGACAGGAGCACGTTCACCTCGGACCGACGGCCGGCACACAGCGCTCTGCATGGCTCGCGTGCGTATGGGCCCCGAACTCAAATCCTGGCAGCGTCACTGCGGGGTACCTTTCTGTCCCGGAGCACCATGTTTCCTGCAGCTGAGAAACTCCCGAAAATAAACTCCTGGGCGCCGACCCACACGGCGGCGTTCTGAGTAAGCACATCTGACCACACGTGGGAGCTGGGCGGGAGAAGGATGGCCTGTTAAAAACAGAGCAGTAACCTCAGCCTCCCTTAGGGTAATATTTCCACAACGCGAGTGTAAAAATACCTCCGCTGGACTGTTTATATTTAACTGTAAAATCAGCAAGGGCAGGAGCACGGTGTGATACGCGCCGCTCCTCGCGGCAGAGCCTTCGCCCGTCAGCCTGCTCCATTTGTCGCCGCTGCCGGAACCACTTTCGGGTTCAGCTGCGCCCCTAGGGACCTCCAAGCTCACCGGTACATGTACAGGCACGCAAACTCCGACTAATTTACAAACATTTACCCAAAGATGCAGGCTGATATATTATACAGCCTGTTTGTACATCTACTGCTGCAGCTTCAGAAGTGCTCCTGCGCTTCTGCATCATCCTCATCATCACCACGATTTTATACTTCCTTTTTGCCCATCTACCCTCACTCTATTCCCACATTAAGGTCCACTGTCAGGAATGGACGCAGGCACTGGACACACACACTGGACGCTCTCACACTGGATGCTGTCATTGGACACTCATACTGGACACTGGCATTGGACAATCTAACTGGATGCTCTCACTGGGCACTGTCATTGGACAGTCACACTGGATCCGGTCATTGGACGCTCACACTGGACGCTCGCACTGGACGCTCGCACTGGACGCTCGCACTGGACAGTCACACTGGACAGTCACACTGGATGCTGTCATTTGACGCTCACACTGGACACTCACATTGGACACTCACACTGGATGCTCTCATTGGGCGCTGTCATTGGACACTCACACTGGATGCTCTCATTGGGCGCTGTCATTGGACACTCACACTGGATGTG